AAACCATTTCCTGTTGTATTTTATTCACTCGACAAGAGATTGTTCAGTTTAAAGGGTTTATTGTGGAGAAAGTGGTTGGTAAGGGTAGGAGTGAATGATCAGCATGCATATTGTGACCATCATTGTAGGGTTTATCCTCACACGTTCCACAAATAAACCAGAAATCCCTAACAACAAAAAGACCCGCCTGCATATGGTAAATAACAAATGTGGCAACAACTTGACATCATGACTGTGCTCAACAGTAAAATAGCCTAAATATATCCTTCATACTTCAATAATACTTTCAAAATCTGCAACTTCTCCCCAAAAACAAAACTTTTCTGACAAATCAATTGTTTTTACTAAACGTATAGACTCAAATAAACTTTATGTTTCATCCTCACACAAGCTTTTTTATTTGCCTTAAAACCACGTACAGAGCAAAAAAGGAACATGACCACATTTCATATACACTTTCAGTTATCCACACTGACGGATCAAATTCATGAATATAACAGTTAACCGTAAGCTCTTCTGTTGTGTACAAGCTTAACGTGTTTGCAAGCATTCATGCAACGTCAGTGTTATCACAGTATGGATGTTTCTTCACAGCTCGTCAGTCTCTCCATCGAAGGGCACAGCATCTGTCTCCATATGAATGTTGCCCGGCTCACCGTTGCCCACCCAGCCAATAGGAGTGCGGTTGAAGGAAGGCCGGCAGCCGATTTCATGCTGGTACACCATCGCGGGTTCAGGTTCCTCTTTGGCCTCAGGTTCTGGCATCTGGAATTTCAAGAACTGATTGGCCTTCTCGAAACCGCCAAACGGCATGGCAGACCTAGCAAAGCAAGGTGAGAGGATTATTGAAGCCCCTTCTTTTCGAAGAACACCTAAAAAGTCAGGCCTTGCGGGACGTACCTGTTGAAGCTTTTGTACTTGCGCAAATCCTTTGCATCACAAGGACCAGCCATTCCACCTTTCATAGTTGCTACCAGAATTTCATCCCCCTTCATGGCCTTCTCCCATGGCGACACGTACGACTTCAAAATAAGCATCGTCTTAGATGCATCATCACTTCCACCTCCTGTGAAGAAAATATCCACGACTAGAGCATAAGACACTCTCAGCCTAGTTGGTAACATTAAATAAAGTTTTACAAATATGTTCATAGACTTTGGGCTGGTTTCAGTAATATTTGTGATGTTGAACAAAAAAGTTCAAGAGTCTCTCCAAGAGTTTGGAAATGTTTGACTATGAAACAGAATCTTTCTACAATAAAAAAACAAACATGGTACCTACCTTTAAGTGGAGACCACCCACTGTCTCCTTCTCCACCTTCTTTCCCATGGTCGCCCCCACCCTGTCCACCTGCCCCCGCTCCTGCACCTGCTCCTGCACCTGCTCCTGCACCTTTGCTTCCAGGCTTGGGAGGAGGCACTGGAGCTCCTCCTTTGCCGTGCATCCCTACAAAATTCAGTCCAACCTGTTTGCTTACAAAATGTCCACCAACATTTATGATGTCACCTCTCATCTGACCTCCCAGAGAGGGAACAAACTTCTGGAGGTCGTCCTGAAAGAAAAATCATGGATATATTAACCACGTGACATCATTTACTAGGTTTTATCTTATAAAAGTTAAACCTGTAAAGGCTTTACTGAGAACTCTCAGTGAGCATTGTAGGCTTTATCTTCTGCCAGTCAATCTGAATATTCATCGAGCTGGTTTGATTGATCAATAATTATCTTAAGGTTTTAACTTTAAAACTAAAAAAATCAAGTACATTTTTGCTGTCCTACTATTATGTTTCTTTGAGACAGCTACTGTATAATATGAATTAAAACAAGTATTTCATTAGGACAGATTCATGTTGTAAAGTGACAAGAATGTATGTTTCTTCAAACATTGCAATACGTTTCTCTGTTGAATGTTGTGTGTGCTCAAATTGTGTCGTATATTTATAAATCTTTTTTAATGAATTGGATTTTGTCATCCCCTTAAGTTTTGATCTCACCATAGCCTCATTGCTGAAGATGTCAGGGTTGTTCTCGTAGATGAACCTATCCACTCTCTTCTGCCTCATCCTGAACATCTTGGAACCTTTGTTGTTCTGCAGGGAAAGCTCCTCCAGCATGATGTCTTTGGGAGACCTGATCTTTGTTCCCAGGTCCAGCTCGGCCTCTGGATCTGACTCATACTCTAGGTAAGGAACATTTGAATAAGTGTTACATTTACAAATGTCTTAATGTGGAACTAAATGTTTCCAAGTAGTCTGGGTGTCTCTGTAGTGATATGCAAAACACAAACAAACCCTAACCAAGTATTTTAAGACATCATTTTATGTTAACATGATAAAGCTGCAGTTAGCATATGGAAAATGTAACTTTATGCCAGCCTTACCATCCTGAGTGATATGTGTTAGGTCGGTTATGATCTTGGCGAGATTTTTCCGCTTGTTCTGCGGGGCACGTTTTCCCAGAGGCATGACTGGAGGATCAGGAAAGACAGGGAGTTAGCAGTAACAATATTATGGTTACAAATGATCAAATGTAATGTATCATTCCTCAGCATATAGAGCGTTATCAAAGTGAACCTCTTTCCCAAGAAACAAAATAAAAGTAGCTTCTCAAGAAAACATTTAGTTATTTAGCAATCAATTGAATATGAATAACATTGTTTCTATTTCAATATGTGTGATTCAATGTAGCAACTTGAGGAACTCGTGCTCAATGTCAT